AACCTATTTGTAAGGGGAATATTCCTATTAAGTGTTGCAGTGGATACATAAGTGATTATCCCAGTGTTCATGTATAAGCGGAATACAAACAATCAATTATTCTTTACACAGCCACTGAATATGTTGGTCCATCTAAACGAGTGATTGCGGGAATGGTTGTGTCGTCTTTCACAAGTATTGGGTGTACGATTTTAGCAGTGTTCGCGTATTTCATCAGATATTGGTGGATACTACAGTTATGCATATCAATACCTACAGCTATTTTCTTATCATTTTGGTGGTAAGTATAGTGATGAGTGAGATGACGATATCACACGTGAGCCTGGTCGCTATATTAATTCTTGGTACCAGTATGTCACATTACAAAAGTACGTCACATAGCAATAACTATTATATATTATAGTCGGTGTACCAGTATATGTGTTTAAACATACATGTGGAATCGAACTCGTTATCCTACATGTAATGTTTGTCTCCATTATCAAATCGTAAATAAATGTAATGCTCTGTGCAGTGTATTCCATAATTAGTTTCCATGTCTAAGTATTTGTTCCTGATCTCATTGTTTTGTTTCCTTAGGTTAATACCAGAGTCTCCAAGATGGCTTCTTTCAGTTGGCAAATACAACAGAGCTAATAAGATCATCAAAGCATGTGCTGAAGTGAACAAAGTCACAGTTCCGGACAGTATGTATGAAGAGATGTCAAATGATGTGGATGATCCCAAACCTGAGGTAGATAATTATATCCCTGTGACTTTGAACTCTTCAAATGCACATGTGCTGTAAGTGAATGGTGATAAATTCATGAGTCAACTCCCATGGGGACATCTCTCGATGCACTAGCTGAACTGTATTATCACATGTATGCAGTACATATATCCTGTAAATGTACTGTTTTGTTCATATCATACCCCCTAAGCGACAAACAACTTGAAACGGTAACGTCTCGAACTAGTCACCTACTAAAATGCAAAACATAGCTCGTTTAATGACTAGAAATAAATATTGAAAGTACCTTTAATCTGAATGTTTTCGCTATATATCCATAGTTTCTTAGTGTCATGCATCCATTCAATACGCGTTTTTTAAAATGTATTTCGCCAACCTTATAGTAGCAACGCAAAGGATTCATTTTCTGCAATAAATCACCGCTACTGCTTGCAGAATGACTGTTCATATGCATGCAATTTGCTGATAGAACTAGTTCATAATGTAGGTAAAAGTGTTGCCAAAGTGTCTCTGCAATTACATTAATGATTCCAAAATAATAGTTATTTATTTAATCACAGCCGTTTAATTGGACGCATCGTCTGTTAAAACAACGGTGTTACTGTATGCAAATGCGTAGAACGGGTTAAGACATTTAAACGTGCACACAAATAACGTCTCTAATGTTATTTTTTAAACGTGCGCACAAATAACGTTTCTAATGTTATTTTTTGCCGGCAAAGCAAATTGAAATGCATAGATGTGATGAATAGGATATCAACATTTGCGAGTGTGTAACATCGGAATTATTTTTTTCTTGTGAACATAGTTTTCATATGTTTATTTCATGTCTTTAGTTATTATTTGGTAATTATCACGTAAATAGCAGTATAATTTTATATCATATGCTATTGGTATCATTATGCAACAATCCATACCAAATGTGTTCACGTTATCAGTAATATTTCATATTCCATGTGGCATAACACTTGCTATATTCATGTAGAATAAAGAAGAAATGGGAAACGCCCTTGATCTATTCCGTTTACCAAATATGAGAAGAAAAACACTTAACATATTTTACAACTGGTAAGCAGCTAGAGATTCACATCTATTACAATAACTATATAGCACTCAGTATACAGTATATAGTCTGTCTCGTTCTAGATGTCGTGAAGCTTATGCGACGAGACTGGCGATACCATCCACTTCAACCAAACAAAACACACTGTTACCGATTCAGAAACTTGACAATCTCAAGTTCAAATAGCCTCAATATATGGGCACTTTGGATGAAGACAATACGAAATGCAAACAAATGGGCTATATTCACAACAACTACATCGAATTATTTCATGGCATATGTATGAATCATGATACTTTTCAAATGTGGCCCAAATTAACGCTTTTCACTTGTTCATCCTGTGCCACTATATCACACGATACATTAGAGTATATAGCAGTGGCTTCTGCCTACTTTGTTATTAACAACGCTACGGACACACATGTCATGTTATCAAATCTTTATTATAGTCTCATTATTTTCATAATAATTTTTTTGAATCACAGTTTGGTTTTTCTCGTTTGTTTACAATGTAACAGGTTCACCGTAGCCATGGTGTACTATGGTCTATCACTCAACACTTCCAATCTTGGAGGCAACGACTATTTGAACGCTTTTCTAGCGGGCGCAGTTGAAGTGCCAGCTTATATTCTAGCTATATTTCTACCTGAAACAAGACTGGGACGTCGTTGGTCTCAGTCATCAACCTTGATACTCGGGGGAGTGGCATGTGTACTTACTCTATTCACACCATCTTGTAAGTATCG